TGGTTATCCCGGCTGTTATTCCCGGGTCTTACGGTTATCACAGGTCTGACGGTTATCCCGGTTGTTATTCCCGGTTTGATGGTTATCCCAGGTCCGACAGTTATCCCAGTTGTTATTCCCGGGTTGATGGTTATCACAGGTCTGACGGTTATCCCGGTTGTTGTTCCCGGGTCTGACAGTTATCCCAGAGCCGCCCCTCTCCGCACGCGCCTAGCCCCGCCTCGCCGCCTGTGACGCTGCTTCCTCCCAAGATGGCGGCCGGGTCTGTGTAATGGAGGAGCTTGGCCTCTGGCTTCACCCTTGTCCCGGTTAGAGCCGTCAGAATTCACTAGTCCTTCAGGCAGGCAGGAGGCTGTAGCTCCCTGCTATTGCCCGGATTACCCTCCTCAGCTCCTTGCCTTTACTGTCCGTGCCCTTCCTGAACGGGTAAAGCGGAGGAAGACGGAATAAATTAATAAAATTCGGAAAATCCAGCAGGAGAGAGTGAGTGAAAGAGTCTTAGGCCGCTTCGAGTGAGCTGCCCCGTCATGTACGAAGGGAAAAAGACGAAGAACATGTTTCTCACTCGGGCGCTTGAGAAGATTTTGGCTGATAAGGAGGTGAAGAAGGCGCACCACTCTCAGCTGCGCAAAGCCTGTGAGGTGGCACTAGGTGAGAGGCATCTTTCCTTTATTTATAATGGACACAGGGCACGGAGGTTTCAATTTACAAGGCAATGTGAGAATGAACAAAGCAATTACTAATGATAATTTCAATACTGTCAGTCCTAAAATAAATGAAAATTGTTGTTGTGTAGACTTGTGTCAAACAAGTGCGGGACTCAATTCATCTGACATAAGGTGATTTCAAGGTATTGTATTCACAAATGTGTGTTTATATTTAACACGCACAATCAACAGTGACGTTTCAGTGTATTTAAAACACATGAAAAAATCGAAAAGTTGAATGGTGGATGGGACAAATTCAGACCAGATGATGATACTACAAAGAAATAAGAATGTTTTGTATGTGTTTGCATGTGGGATATGCATGGTCATTGGGATACGACTTGTAATTTTAAAGGTATTGTGGTGATAATTAACGCCTGGACTAGGAGACAAATCAACAAATAAGAAACTAATTTTGTTTCACACAAAGATTATCTCTCAAATCTTTTATTGATTTAATTGACACTGACACAAAAGCTGATGAATGTCTGACGTACTGTGAAATGAAGTGATAATTTAACAAAGCTTTGCTGACATTAATGTATAAGTAATATAATGTTAGATGTATTTATTTCATTTAAGGTATATGTTAAATTGATATAGAATCTTGTTTTAAAACATGAAGGTGCTAAACAAAATTGCACTTTTTTATTTGCTCTGGAATTTGGCATTGCTTTTCATGCTGTGGTAATAGCTGTTCTAGCTATTTGAATGATTTGAATTATTACTGCAAGTAATAGCTATGGTTGGGAGAAGTTTCAACTGATAGCAAGTATATTTGAAACAGTGAAAGATTCATCCATGACATTTTACGGAGTATACTGGATATACCTACATGAAGTCAGGGTGACTCATCTGATTGTGTTTCTTTTTCCATTCTTTAGAATTCAAGTTGAATTCATATTGTTGCTGATCACATTTGTAGGCTAGATTAATGATCATGTTAACTTTTGTGAAACAGTGTGGATCTTTAATGAAGAGGCCACAAAAGGCAAAATATTTATTGAGTACACTGAAATACTCATGTTCATTCTTTTTCTGACTAATGAAACAAGAGTGACAAAAGATCTTGGAGTAATGAATTAAACCGACTAATCCCTGAGTAGGAAGGCCTTAGTTATATGCATCTTTTTGATGCAATAAGCATGTTCAGTACACAGGACAATAATGCAGTTGGTGGAATCTAGGCATGATATTTCAATGGGAAGAGTTGTTTGAATGGATTAGTTTGATTTTGGAGATCAACTGAAATAGAATGTACAGGTTATTTGATCAAAATGCTGAACTAGTATATAGCATGTGGAGACTGCAGTTGATGTTACTTAAATTAATTATTCATTTAATTAACACTTCAATCTAACACCAGAACATTGTATAACATGGTAGAGTTTGTTTCAGAGATAGTAGGAACTGCAGACGCTGGAAAATCCGAGACAACAAGGTGCAGAGCTGGATGAGCACAACAGGCCGAGCAGAAAGGCTGACGTTTCGGGCCTAGACCCTTCATCAGAAATTTTTAAACCGAGCGTAGGTGTTCTGCAATGCGGTCCCCAGCCTCCGGTTGGTTTCCCCGATGTAGAGGAGGCCACAATGGGTACAGGGGATGCAGTATACCACATTAGCAGATGTGCAGGTGAACATCTGCTTGATGTGAAAAGTCTTCTTGGGGCCTGGGATGGGGGTGAGGGAGGAAGTGTGGGGGCAGGTGTAGCATTTCCTGCGGTTACAGGGAAAAGTGCCAGGTGTGGTGGGGCTGGAGGGGAGTGTGGAGCGAACAAGGGAGTCACAGAGAGAGTGGTCCCTCTGGAAGGCAGATAAGGGTGGGGAGGGAAAAATGTCTTTGGTGGTGGGGTCGGATTGCAGATGGCAGAATTGTCGGAGGATGACGCGTTGGATCCGGAGGTTGGTGGGGTGGTACGTGAGGACGAGGGGGATTCTTTTTTGGTTGTTACTGCGGTTACGAGGTGTGAGGGATGAGTTGCGGGAAATGTGGGAGACACGGTCGAGGGCATTCTCGACCACTGTGGAGGTGGTGTGTGGGGGAGAGCGGATGTGGGAGGTGGGAGTTGCGGTCCTTGAAAAATGAGGACATCTGAGATGTACGGGAGTGGAATGCCTCATCCTGGGAGCAGATGCGGCGGAGGCGAAGGAATTAGGAATAGGGGATGGCATTTTTGCAGGAAGGTGGGTGGGAGGAGGTGTTATTCTAGGTAGTTGTGGGAGTTACTGGGCTTGAAATGGATATCGGTTTCTAGGTGGTTGCCGGAGATGGAGACAGAGGTCCAGGAAGGTGAGAGAGGTATTAGAGATGGTCCAGGTGAACTTAAGGTTGGGGTGGACGGTGTTGGTGAAGTGGATGAACTGTTCGAGCTCCTCGTGGGAGCAGGAGACGTCGCCAATACAGTCATCAATGTAACGGAGGAAGAGGTGGGGTTTAGGGCCAGTGTAGGTACGGAAGAGGGATTGTTCCACGTAACCTACAAAGAGGTAGGCATAGCTTGGGCCCATGCGGGTACCGATGGCTACCCCCTTTGTCTGTAGAAAGTGGGAGGAATTGAAAGAGAAGTTGTTGAGGGTGAGGACGAGTTCGGCTAAGCGGATGAGGGTGTCAGTGGAGGGGGACTGGTCGGGCCTGTCTCCGCCTGCTCCTGCCCCACCGAACTTATCTCCACCTATCTCGACTCCATTTTCTCCCCCTTGGTCCAGGAACTCCCAACCTATGTCTGTGACACCACCCGCGCCCTCCACCTCCTCCAGAACTTCCAATTCCCCGGTCCCCAACACCTCATCTTTACATGGACGTGTAGTCCCTATACACCTGCATTCCCCATACAGATGGCCTAAAGGCCCTCCGCTTCTTCCTGTCCCGCAGGCCCGACCATTCCCCCTCCACTGACACCGTCATCCGCTTTGCCGAACTCGTCCGATGACTGTATCGGCGGCAGCGCCTCCTGCTCCCACGAGGAGCTCAAACAGTTCATTCACTTCACCAACACCTTCCACCCCAACCTTAAGTTCACCTGGACCATCTCTAACACCTCTCTCACCTTCCTGGACCTCTGTCTCCATCTCGAGCAACCACCTAGAAACCGATATCCATTTCAAGCCCACCGACTCCCACAGCTACCTAGAATACACCTCCTCCCACCCACCTTCCTGCAAAAATGCCATCCCCTATTCCCAATTCCTTCGCCTCTGCCGCATCTGCTCCCAGGATGAGGTATTCCACTCCCGTACATCTCAGATGTCCTCGTTTTTCAAGGAACGCAACCCCCCCCCCCCCCCCC